CGTTTTTGCGTGCAATCGAACATATTTTTAGACTTATGTAAAAATTCTCTAATCAGTCCGGAAACAGGGGGACCCAATTCTGGCATTCTGTGATAACGGGTAAGGTTGACTATAACATAATAATGTTTATCTTCCCTATCGTTACTTTTGACCAAGCAACGCCAGGCCTACCTGCTAGTTTATAATTTTTTAAGAAGAAATAATGATTTGGCAGCCGAGCTGCCTGCATCCTGGGAATTAATTATTAATTACATTGCTTTAATAATCTGCCGAATAAATTTTTCGATTTTATAACAAATATTATACTGAAGTACGATTGTTCTTAGAATGAATACATCGTCAATCATCTGTAGATATGATCTCCAGGATATCAGAAAATTATGAATTAATAAGTAGCAGTGAACGTTGGCTGAATTCATTACAGTCGACAGTGATTTATTATCTCTGATTCTATAGTTCTATTGTCTTCTTTTACAAGGAAAATAAAACATCATTTTAATTATGTAGTTTTTTAAAAAGTAAACAAAATGAATATAATTAATATAATATATTAATATAAATTAAAATTCTGGCAACGAGTTATTTAATTTTGCCGGCAGCATTTAAAAGTTTGGTGAGCTATTTCTTATGCTATTATATTACTAAAACTTATTATAATGTATGATATTAATGATTTTATTAAATTAAGAAAGAATTAATCAATATTGCGAAGAAGAAATAAATGAATAATAGATAATATAAAATCATTTTTTAACCTTAAATCTGGATATAAGATAATTTTAAATCATTTTAAATTTGGAAAAACACCTTTTTAAACGAGCGACACACTGACAAGAATTGTTTAAAAAATTCTTAATATTATAAAAATGTTTGAAACTGAGCTTTCTAGTGTACATTTTGTATGAATTTTAAAAACTGTTGTTTCTTGATTACAGTAAGACTATTAAAGGAAAAAGCAATTAGAAAAGGCAAGTTGTAACTTCCTATATAAGAAAGGTTTATAAAAACAATTAAGAAATCAAATAGTGAATTGTCAAATAAGTTTTGATGTGTATAGAAAACAACATAGTGTAATACATAAAGTGTAGGAGTGTAGGTTTATGATTTTTTTATATCGATCTACTTGCGAAAAGATCTGAAACTGCAACTGAATTTGGTAAATTATATACATTCACAACACGAGGCAGTTTTTTAAATATTTTTACGAGTAACATATATGATAAACACTTGTAAAACAAATGAAGTTTTCGTGCGACCAACATGAAATGTTTTATAAACAAAAATCATAAGAATATTTATAAATTGTGCCCTATTCGACCTATATATATGTACAAAGATTTATATAATTAGTCACTCGGCGTGATAAACCCTCATGTAAAATAATCTCTGTAGTTATATAAGTCAAACAATATAATATAACGAACGTTAAAAGGTAACCCGAATAAAGTTTTTAGTTATTTCAGTCTACTATTATCACGTTTATCGCGATACATAAATGGTAGAAAATGAAATAATTTCATTGATTAAGTACACACCAATTAAAATATATTCTAAACTTTCAGATATATTAATTTTGATTAATGTTAACCATTCACAGCCGAACATCATAAGGTCATCTGCCAACGAATTAAATTCCGACAAAAATTAATCAAATATTTAAACTCGGCTCTTTCGAAAACGGCGTAAATTATATTTTGTACTGGCAAGTAACCTACTATTATGTAATTTTACTATTGTAATACCACCATACCGCTGGTCCGATAGAAAGAAGCTACGGTTGCAAAATAGGCTCGATTTAATTCGACCAAAAGTAGTCGTTGAACTCCAGCTGAATGAGAAAATCAAACAACAAGAAATCACATGACATATTTTTCCATCACGAAGCTATAAAAGCCTCTTCTTCCCCCTCAAGACAGCCTCTCATCAACCGCTGACCAGTGACAAGCCGGGCTATATTGAGGAGCCATATTGTTAAACCTTTGGTATTAAGTGCGCGCTACGAAACTTAGTCGCGATCATTATTACTTTGAGCCTTGATCAAGAAAATAACAGTCGTACTACCGTGGAAATAGTAAGAGGTATGATAACAACAGGTGTAAACACTCTCTCGGTTCTTCCTTCTTTATATTCGGAAGTTAAAGAACAATGTTGATAGATATTCGATGTTCGTAGTTGTAACTTCCAATTGTTAATTAATAAAATTTTAGTTTTCTTGTTAAATGGTGTCATTTGCTCGTTTGTTCCCTTCGCCTTACCGACGACCCTTCTTACTTCCTTCACTCGACCTGACAACAAGAATCTCGACTTTTCAGGATAGTAAACGTAAACGAGCCATCCACTGACAAGTGAGCAATTTTCACCAAATTGTTGCGAACAAAAAAAGGTACGACCTCGTCCCACAGTATTATTCTAAATCCCTATTTAAAGACTCTTAATCTAACAAAAATGGGAGCCTATTGAACTACAATAAGCCCTAGGTCCCGAGAAACGAATATCTGCCCGTGTACGTGTAACTTTCAAAATTTAATCGAATGAGATATTAAATAAATTATTTGGCATCTTTTCTTCTTGTTTACTTTTTAAAATGAAGTACATAATTAAAATGATGTTTTATTTTCCTTGTACAAGAAGACAATAGAACTATAGAATCAAAGATAATAAATCACTGTCCATTGTAATTACTTCAGCTAATGTTCACTGCTATTCATTAATTCATAATTTTCTGACATTTTTACAGATCATATCTACAGATGATTGACGATGTATTCATTCAAAGAACAATCGTACTTCAATATGATATTCGTTATATAAATAACAGAAAAATTTATTCGGCAGATTATTAAAACAATGTAATTAATAATTAATCCCCAAGATCCAGGCAGCTCGGCTACCAAGTAATTATTTTTTTTCTTTAAAAATGCTTATGAATATGTTTTAATTAAATTAAAAATCATGCTGAAAATATCCAAATCTTTTGCACACGTGTCTCGTTACGCTATTAACACAGATTTCTGAATAGCGTAAGTAGCAAGAAGTGTAATTTTTATCTAATTAATTTGTATTATTTGGCTTTAATAAATAACACTATTAAAAAATATGGCTATATACTGATATTTGAAGTGTATTATAAATATGTTATTATTGGATCTATTATTCTTATAATAAATACATAGACCATTATGAGAAAACAAATCCTTTCAAGATATCAGAAAATTATGAATTAATATATAGCATTATACAATAGCTGAATTGACTATAGTCCATAGTTGTTTTAAGCAAGCTATTTTTTATTTTTTCTTTTATTATTCCATTGTCTTTTTTAAAACGCAAACAAAGAGATATTTAAATGATGTATTAATAATATATATTTGTTTAAACTATTCATTTAACAATTAATTATCATTGAAGAATACATGTTACTGTTAATGTTTGTCAAATTTCAAACTGACTTTTTCTATGGGAATTAGTTTCTTAATTTGGTGTTTTTATTCTTATGATATACATTTTATCAACACTTAAAAATTACTACACTTACGTTATATTAATAAATTTCAATTGAAGTAAAAAAATAATGTAACAACGAGTCGCTTAACTTTCCCTGCATCATTTATTAGTGAAAATGTTTATCTTTTTATTTATTATAAACTAGCAGGTAGGCCCGGCGTTGCTCGGGCAAAAGTAAAGATAGTGAAAATAAACATTATTACGTTATAGTCAACCTTACTTGTTTTCACAGAATGCCAAAATTGGAATCCCCTGTTTCCGTACTGATTAGAGAATTTTTACATAAGTCTAAAAATATGTTCGATTGCCCACAAAAACGAAAAATCTGCATCTGCCTCTTGCACGTCGCTTTCTCTTAACAATTCCATTGTTACGTAGCACTTTCATTGTTGACACTTCCATTGTTGATGGAAGTTTAAAGCCTTCATCGTGTCCCTCATGTTGGGAGGAATTTCGAAAAATCTCTTCTTAGTGTGCGTTTTCGTGATGTACCCTAACTGTGTACCAAATTTCAACTTTTAACACATAACCGTTTTGGTTATGCTCTTATTATTATTATTATTATTATTATTATTATTATCATTATCATTACTAATTCGTCTCGATTATATATATAGATTGGAAGAAGCTTAATTGTAAGGAAAGAAAAAGGTTATATAAAAAATTGTAAATGATGATAAAAAGTAATAGTCATTAAGTCCGTCCCTACAGAAAATACATACGATCCCCTTTATCTCCCTCCTCTCTTTCGATTTTTAGTTACCAAAATTTAGGAACATCAATTCCCTAATAATAAAATCTTCCTGGAAAATTTCAGAGATGTTCGAGAAAGAGAACAGTAGCTATTAAGCTTTAAAGGAGGTGAACAACATCGTTTCCTCTATACACATCTACACACACACACACACACATACAAATGTTAACATCCATAGATACAGAAATTACCCCCCGAATTGTTCTCATTTCTCGACGTTTGAAGATTCCCTGATTGAAAAATAATAAAACTTTGGGGTGAGGATTTTTTATGTGATCGCCATATAAAACTTTCATATTAAACTTATTTTTACCAGTTCAGAATGTTCAAATTTTAAAATTAAAAAAATAGAATTTTAAAAATTTTAAAACTAAAAAAAACTTTATACTTTGTTTTAATAATAATGTAAATTATTTATTGTTTAATATTGTTTGTTGCCTATATCTAAAAATTTGTTTAAATTGTTTAAATAAAATCATAATAATATCAATAGTAAATCACAAGTAAAAAAAGTCTATAAGGAATGATCGTATTGATTTCTTCTAATCCATATTTGAGCAATTATTTATTTTATAATGATCTTAGAAAGTATAAGTAATATATGATATTAAGTATTTTTTTCAATTCAATGTCTAAAATTAATCAAAATATCTTATCTTTAAAATAAGTCTAACAGGAAGTTATTTATATTCGTCTTTACAAACCAGACTTACATAATTTACATCGAAAAAGCTTACAGGAATGTTTATCAATGTTTCTAGATAGATTGTTTCTGTCATATTAAAACTATTGTTCGAAAGCAGAAATGCGTCATTCATATTGTCCGTATAAGCGCAACAACTTACACTTGCAACTGATAGGAGGTAAATATTTTTTGCATAACTTTACATTCCTCGTTCTTAATAAACTAAACTTTATCGATAAATTTTCATCGCTAATATAAGTTAATTGAATTTAACAGAATAAAGTTTTGTTTATTTTTATTTAAATAGATCAAATACCTTTTGTCTTTAACAAATAATGAAACTTGATTGTGTACGAAAAACAATATCGGCCATTTTCCGAAAATTTGGAAGATTCGTCGGTCTTCATCCGTACTACTTTATCCTCTTTCCTGTTTTAATAACAGCAATATTCTCAGTTTTCACCTTTAACATAAACTCTATCAAAAACTTAACTAAATTGGCGTTTGCAGATTCCGGAAGAGTCTTTAATACTAAGAAGTTTATTGACAAAACATTTCCTTTTAATACGTCCAAATTTTTCGATCCGACAAGCTTTACAAGCATTCCAAAATGCGTGTTTGTGATGTATACAAAGACAAATGGCGGAAACATGCTAGAAAAGGATGTGCTGCTAGAAATTAGTCGGGCGGATGAACTAATTAAGAATATAACAATCAATGAGGCAGGAAGAGAAATTGGATATTCGGATCTCTGTGGACGTGTGGGTGAAAAATGCTTTGAAAATCCCATAATCGATATCTTATTGGAAATTGATAATATAGTACAGAAGAAGAAGAGATTGAAATATCCGTTCGATATAGATCCGTTGACTTACTCTTATAAAATTTATTCTCTAAACTTCGGGGGTGTCATCGAAGATGAGAACGATTTGGTTCAAACAGTAAATGCTATCAGATTACTGTATTTTACAGACGAAAGCGACGAGAATAAGCTCGAACTTATAGAAAAATGGCGCGCGGCAGTTTACAATCGTATAAGAAATCATCGTTTCGAACACCTTTTGTGTTTCGTCGATTATAACTGGTTGTTTGAAGAGCGAACTTCGCAATTACTTCAAAATTTAACACCCATGATCGCTGCACTGGTTGGATTTATTTCTGTGTTTACTATTTTAACGTATATGAGCAATAATTGGGCCAAAAGCAAGCCAGTTCTTGGTGTGGCAAGTGTGGTATCTGCTGGACTGGCCGTGGTCACTTCTTTCGGTTTCATGTCTGTTCTAGGTACAGAAAATAGTAAATGGAACATCACCATTCCTTTCTTAGTTCTCGGTAAGTTGTTATTCATAATTTTATCTTATTTCGCTCGAGCATTACGATTCAGTTTCGTGTAAATTCTTTTATCGCAGTGACCGAAATAGACGATGCTTTCGTGTTGTTGGCGTGTTGGAGAACATCGAACCCCAAGCAGAAAGTAGCGAAACGCATGGAAGAAACGTTCGCCGAAGCCGGAGTTTCTATAACTTTAACGTCGTTGACCAATCTGTTTTCCTACTGTATAGGAATGATGGCATCTATTCCTGTTGTGAGAATGTTTTGTTATTATTCCGCAACGTGCGTAGTGTTTACCTTTTTGTATCAGGTGACATTCTTCGGTGGATGCATGGCTTTATCCGGATACAAAGAAGAGAAACAAAGACAATCACTTCGACTTAATTCCGGTAAGTTCATTGATCTTCCTTGTTTTTAATACTTTCAATTAAAAATTCGCTATAAATATTACACATATAGCTAATATTAAAGCTGAATTTCTTAAAAAATATACATTTTATCAAATGTTTAAATACGGAGTATTTTTTCGACAGACAACCGTACACGGTTGATTTTTAATCATTTATTAATTATCGTATTTATGGAAATAATTTTTTTTAGACAGTAGATATGGTAAGTATTAATTCAAGGAACACGGTATATATTACAGTAATTTTAAATAATACTATTAAAATTATTATAAAATTACTTTATATTTAAAGACTGCATTGCATTAATATATGTAAATAAGTATTTTCGTTGTCATTAAGTTGAAACGGAAGCATAACGATAGTTCTATAAAAATTATTATTGTCTTTGTATTCTATCCACTCTATAGAAATATTTATTTTCTTTATACAGTCGAAAAATTCGATATAACCGGTAGAAGATAATACAGGTGTTCTATTTCTCATTACATGCGAAATTAAGTCTATTATATGACTTGTAAAAATAGGTTTCCGATCGATAGTTAATTTTCCTTTAGTTAAAATTCCATCCGTAATGACTTCGATTCGACTTTTCAATTTAATGTGCTATATATTTTTTGATATAATTGAGGTACAAATATGACTATTTGTTTAATAAATCAACAGCTTTTTCTTAAGGTTAAAATTCTTTTTTATACAAATTTGCGTTGTAATATTTTTTATATAAAAATTTATAAAGCTATATTTTTCCTGTCGAAATTTATTCGACTTTAGCAACACAAGCATTCAGAGACTGGTTTAAAAGAAAAGATGCCAATTACTTTTTATACTCTCTTTAATTAAGCAAGCACAAAAGCCTATATTTACATGATTTCAGCCTTTCGATCTCAGCTTTTAAATATATTATAAAATTCCTTAAACCTTTACTTATATGAAATCCACGAATTTAGCGCAGTTGTAGGAAAAAAAGAAATGTAAACAACTCCGATAGAAGAAACGCTCTTTGTGAGAATTAGATCGAAGGTTACCCTTTGTTATAAGAATAAGATTAAAAAGTTGATACATAGGTGTCACGAATGCCAATGATCGTTAATGTCAATATATGACTATCATGTGACTCCATTCCCACGACGATATACCATTTTATTATTATTACATTAAATATTATAATATTTTAAAAATACAGTTAAAATTATGTAAAATGAATTTTCTCAATACAAATTTGTAACTTATTTAGCATCTTTTTTAAATGAAATTAACGTATATTTTCAGAAAATATCGAAGAAGCTTCCGAAGATGATAATCCTTCTGATGAGCCGACAATGACATATTTCAGAGATAACCTAGGCAAAATTCTATCTTTAAATGTTGTCAAGATAATAGTTATTATAATTTACTTTTTGAATTTATCATTCGGAATATGGGGAGCGTTAACAATAAATCATGGTATAGACGTCACAACCTTATATCCTGAAGAATCGCCGATAACCAAGTCTATCAAAATATATTATAACAGTTTTAGCCGTTATTCCTTTCCTTACCAAGTAGTTATTAATACTACATTAGATTATTCAGATGTAAATGTGCAACAATCCCTAGACAAACTGATGAACAAATTTGAACGTCTTCCATATATTGCAGATTCTCGATTTACTTTATCGTGGTTAAAATATTACAAAGAATTCCAGAATTATCCCGTTGCAAAATATTCATTACGTGGTTACAACATGTCCGTAAAAGAAGATTTTTTGGATGGTCTTCGCAATGTTTTCCTTAAATTTAAAGCAGCGTAGCAATTCTATAATCATATTGCCTTCAATGAAAATGGAACCGATATTTTGAGTAGCAGATTCTTTATTTTTGTCAACGATACGCTAAGTCCAGCAGCCGAACTAAAAATTTTAAGTAATTTGTGGAAAATTGTTGACGAATTAGACTTTCCTGTTCTGATTCACGAAGCATTCGCTCCTGTATACGAACAAGGAATCATCATTAAACATACAATTAGAGATTTATTTTGGATCACGTCTATATTAATAATGTTACTGTTCTTGCTGTTTATACCGAACATTGTCGTTGCTGTTCTGGTAGCAATATCGGTAGCATCAACCATTATAGAAACTCTAGGATATATGTCCCTGTGGGGTGTCAACGTGGACATTTTATCTATGATGAGTCTGATATTGTGTGTGGGTTTCTGCGTGAATTATCCGGCCCATATATCTTATGCTTATGTTTGTTCTGTGTTCGAAACTCCGAGTGAAAAAATGAAGGACAGTCTCTATCGTATTGGTTATCCAATATGTCAAGGATCTTTTTCTACGATTTTAGGGATTTTGTTTTTATATAGAAATGTTTACGCTTTCATTACATTTGTGAAAATTGTATTCCTTATCGCTTTAGAAACTGCATTTCATGCGCTGATTTTCATCCCGGTTGTTCTTTCACTCGTGTTTTCTATTTTGTCTAAATTTAATGTTAAACTACAAGATCACGTTGAAAACAGAAATTTCTTGTAAAAATGAAATTCACTTTTAAACGTTTAAACACTTAAAATCATATTATTATCGAAATAGCTATTATTTTAACGTAATAAGTATTATGAACTGACTTTCATTTTATACGTTTATTGATGCTTTTATTAAAGAGAATAAATGTTTAATGGAAAATATTATAAAATAATACCGAGTCAACCGAATATATTTGTAAACACTTTTTGTTTTTTTGTGAGAGTTAATGGAAAATTAAAATCTGAAATTACAAAATATCATAATTGACTATAGATTAAATGCAATAACACTACGTAACGAGCAATTATTTATTGTGACATTGTCATAATGCAGTGATGCAATTTTTGAAAATTCTTAATTCATTTAATTGAAAATGTATGCTCTCCATCTGAAATAAGTAGTGTCTTGCCCTGTATATTATACTTTTTTTATGTGCATCTGACGTTCCTATATCCGGATAGGCTCTTTGTACTGTTCTGCTATCTGTTGCAACTTTTATCTGCCTAACACCGTTATCTAAATTAAAAAATGACGTGCAGACAAACGGACAAACGACAATTTACAGGTCTATAATTTCGAAATTGCTGGATTTTTTTTACTTTACTGGAATTGATAAATAAATAGAGTGTAATGATATTTTTCATTAACAANTTCTTCTACTCCACTAAAATTGATAAAGAAGTAGAGTGTAACGGTATTATTTTTTTTAACAATGATGACACATCTATAAAGCTTCTAGGGATAGGTTCATAATTATAACTGTACGTCTTTATATCTGGAATATATTATGTCGTTCGCATTTATAAATTTTAAATCAGTTAAATTAGATATTATAATTTATACATTATTTATCATAAATGTAATAAGTAATTTATTTCCATCATCTTAAATATCAACATTGTGAAGTTTTAAACGTTGCATTTCAGTTCATTATTAGCATGAAATCCATTTCATATTTGTTGTGTTATTATACAGTCGACCACTCTATAACACAGTAGATACTTTCCGGTTTTTATGAATCCATTTTCTACGAGTCCAACCAATCAGAGCCCGGCGTGTATGCAGTTTACGTGTTACGGCAGTTTGAAAGGTTTTTTCCATAAAATTAATCGATTTTAATAGATGCTAGACTAATCCGACTCAACATTTCCAAAATACGTATAATTTTTGCAATTAATCCATATAAACAAAAAATTGTAGAATTACTTACCGAGCGTGCACCGTTCGACTACGGCATAGATTAAGCTTGTTTCGTCGTGGAGCTTGTCATCGAATCCCGTGCTTTTTGATATATTATTTTTCTTCGAAAAATTCGCTGAATTGTGTAGACATCATTAATATAAATATAATTATTATGGACATTAAATAATAAATGGTTTTCAGTAGGTACAGTGCTCGGCTAAACTCAACGGTTTGTACAATATCCTGTATTGGTCTAGATTCGACCAATACTGTCGCGACACGAGTTGGCGATGACGTTTTACCGAATTATACGAGATTTTAGCGTGTTTGTACAAATACTCTAGCAATTTTTTCGCCGTTATATAAAAATTCGAACTATAGAAATCCGTGTTTTGGGGGGTCGACTGTATTTCATAGTCTTAATGATTATTCAATTACACATAAAAATAAAACTAAATAGAAATTTAAAAATAATGCACATATAAACATTGATCTCTGGTTATCTTTAAGTTGAAAATTATTTAATAAAGATAACACATTAATAAAATTTTGTTTTATTGGCCTATATAATATAATAAAGAGAAATAAGTCGTTTTTTCTTATTTACTGAACACTTCTTTACATATTCTAATCAGAGAATTTCTATTGTTAATTAAAAAATGGTGTCATTTACAGTATCGTCTTAGATACGGCTGTTTGAAAATTTTCTATGTACAACAACACTAACGTACGATACAGGCGTACATAGTGCTCAAATATTACCGCAGAAATATGTATAACTAGTGTATAAAGAAGAAGCTTCGTTTCTTCTAGTCATTTGGAGGTCAACGCATATCTATTGACAATATTCGTGTCTGTGTCAGACTCTCCAGTAAAAGATGTTAAACGCGTTAACTACGATAGAAATGTAGAACAATCAACATGATTACATATTACAAATTAGCTGAGGTATATACTATTTGCAGTTAAACAGTAAGATTTTCGTTATAATCAAATTATTATCGATTATAATATTTGAACACCAAACGATAATTCTTTGTTGCTTTTTATGCAGGGAGATTGTAAATTTTTGCAACAATTACGTGAAAATGGTCACGATATCATTTGTATGTAAGTCCTGTGAAGTATGGTAATCGAAAAACTGAACTGCTGTTGTTTACTCATGTTTCAATAGATTGATTAACGTACAGACACTCTTCACCCAGATATTCGGTATATCTGCTCCTACGAAGGCAATATCAGACAATTAGTTCCAAAATTCAGGCTAACGGGTGATGCACAACGTTCTGAGTGACTCACTATAAAGATAGAATTAGTTAACGTGCAGAACTGCAATAACGCAAAGTCTAGGTCGTCGACCAAAAAAGTAGACCTAGTGCACTCTGTGCCACAATCTGAATGTAACGACATTCTCTAAGGAGACTTAAAAATTAACTTAAGTCCATCTTTCAGAGGTCTCAACGATAAAATGTAAATTAAATATTAGCATGTTCCATAGAATCGATTCTTTCATTTAATAAAATACAGCGTGTTTATATAAAGTGACGATCTATTTTTGTAAAAATAATAGCAAAATCATTTACATGCAGGTCAAAACATCCCAAGCAATGTATCAAAATCTCTGGAAGGCTATGGAACAGGCGGATTTCGTGGTACATTTGTCTATGTTAAGCCAGTAAAACACGTGCTAACTACAGCGATTGCCTTTTCTTGGGCCATCTTGCTTCACAAGAATTATAAACACATATTTTTATTCGTTAACCTGTCTACCTTTCTTTGTCAAACCGTAGACATCTATCGACGTGCTAATCGACCTTTCCACTCGAAAAGTAGCTCTCCTACTCAACTTTCCAGAAGATAGACCGCGACTAATTAAGTCTTTCAATATGTGCGTCAGAAGATGAGATAAAAAACAATCGTAAATAATAAATATTTCTTTTGTCGTACCAGGTAGATATTTTCGACTAAACGTTCCATGTATTTTGAAATTCGAACGAAATCTCTAATATTAAATTTAAATGTATTTTTTCCTTATATACCATAGAGCTTTTCAAAAATCGCACTATGATGCAAAGGTGTAACTTTCGACACAGACATACTGATACTTCTATGAAAACTATTGTTGTAGCTTTCTACAATATCAGATAATTTATCGATATATTTATGAGAATTACAATAAGTAAATAATCTATAGATTTTATACAACAGAGTTTTATTTAGTCTTTTGACAACAGCTGCTTTTGTATCAGAATGGGTTTAAAAAATGATTAATTTTAAATTAAAAAAAAAAATTTTTTACCAATCTATTATAAAATTCTTTTCCTTTATCAGTGTGTAAATTTTTCGGAATGTTTTTAAACATGATTTTAAAAGCTTTAAAAACTGACTGGCGTTTTTTTTCTTTTATTGGTTCCACATAGCAATACTTAGTAAATACATCGATTACAGTTAGTAAGTATTTTACTACATTATTAAATCTAGAAAATTATTTTAATACAATTACATCGGCATGCCTTAAGTCATTAAAATAGAAACTTTTAGTTTTTCTTCGCGAATTTTTAATTCTTACAGGTTTATGAAGTGTATAATTAACTTAACGCGCATTGACGAGAACACGCGTCTAGTTTGCATAGCGTTACGAAAAATTCGGGTGTTAAGGCCACTTTTGACAAAAAATTTTTTTTCAATTTTTGGAATGTTCTTTACGTCCCCAAGTTTTTTCAAAATTTTTTGCCCGCGCGAAAAAATTTTATCGCGATTTTAATGACCCTTTGTAAATGCTCGATTAAGGCTTAATTGTTTTTTAAAGGGAGTTTTTTGTCAAATTTATTTCATGGTTGCTAAGTTGTATTGCATGGATTTGACTTCGATAAAGTTATTTAAAGCTGCTTTCTGATGTCAAAAACGACCTCCAATAGTTTTTTTAATTTTTTTAATTAATATATTTATTAATATACAATTAATTAATTAGAGGGTCGAAAATCGCAATAAAATTTTTAATTTTTTAAAAATATTTAAAAATATACGTGTCCGTGGTACTCACCTTACTTTAAACCATTGAACTACCGCCGTGTACACGAGAATTGTTCAGGAAATCTGACTCCAGCTGTGTTCAACGTCATCCAGCTGCATAAACAATGACTCATCGGTGTTAATTTCACACAAAGGCAAGACAAAGGAAAATAAAATTTGAAGCTTTTTCTTCAAAATTAACGCATTTCTTTCGTTTTTTTCAGATTTAAGTATTTTTTATGTATTTGTTAAGCTTAATTACGTCATAATAAAAAACAAACGAGCTTTAAGGAGTTAATTAAGAAGACAATTATTTTTTAACAACAAATCGCCGTAAATTCGATTCTTTAACTAATTTAATCACACCACCAAAAGATGCTGAAGATTTAGTATTATAGTATATAGATTTCAAAAGTTTTTCCATTCGAGATTTTTCTTCCTCTTCCTCTTAGATTTTTTCCACTGATGTAATAGTTTCGGAAAAAATTTCTTCAGGTGTTTCTACCGATGCTGGTTGATACTGTGTTTTTTTGGGTAATGTTGCCAAAGTTTTGTTTCCAATCCACACTTTAAGAATGTTTATTTTCTTTAAACCGTTCAAAAATTCGTTAAAACCAACAGGAACTAATGTGGTTTTTCTATTTCTAATTACGTACGAAATTAGGTCTACTATATGACTTCTAAAAAATAAGTTTCCCATCGACTGTTAATTTGCCTTTAGAATTCCATCCGTAATGATTTCGATTTAACTTATCAATTAAATGTGGTATATATTTTTGATAT